ACGAGCTATATAATCACAGTATCCATATAATATTATAAAATATAATCTCAAATTTAAGATTCGATAAATAGAATAATCTGAGAAATTCTATAAATCGAACGGGGCGTTACACACTTGTATTGACAGTTACATAATATCTAACGATTACAAATCCTAACGAAATGGTTTAGGATATTACGTAGCATATCCCTAAATCAAATTGTAAGCTGAAATGCGTTTGTTACATTATTATTTAAACAAATATTACCAAGTCCCAAGCACTAATCCGAAGCCACCCACAATAACTCCCCGATGATAATAATTATACAAAGCTAGATAAAAAACATTAATGCAACAACTCATCAATCTACCTTACTAATATGCTCAATGAACCTCTCCAACTCCCGGCGACACTCGCCGCCGCTCTCCGCCGCCTTCCGGACGGCGGCACCTATCTTTGCCGCCCGTCTCCTAATCTCATCCCCTCCTTCCCCTCCCGCCATCAATCTCCCGACCGCATCCTTAACAACCCTCGCCGTCACCAACTCCTCTCGGTTTTCCTAAGTCCTGACGATCAGTCCCGTTTTCAGAACCTTGGTCATGAAAATCGCGTTGACCGGCTGGTCCGAATGCATGGGCCACGCCAGCACAGGCACGCCCGTCATTAGGCTCTCGAAACACGAATTCCACCCGCAGTGCGTGAGAAACCCTCCAGTGGCCTCGTGGGCAAGTATCTCCACCTGTGGGGCCCAATCCCTCACCACGAGCCCGATTCCGGTCCCCTTCACCCTCTCCTCGAACCCATCGGGCAACTCGATAATCTTCTTACTCTCTCCCGAGAAAATGTCGGCCCTATCCGCATCCCTCAACGCCCACACGAACCTAAACCCGCTCGACTCGAGCCCAAGGGCGATCTCCCGAGCCTCCTCTCCCGACAGGGAAACGGTCGTCCCGAACGAGACAAACAGAACGGACCCGTGCGCCTGCCCGTCGAGCCAGTCGAGGCACGCGTGTCGTCGTCGTCGTGCTCCCGTTTCGTCATAATCGGCAACCTTTATTTCTGAGCCGAGTGTCGGGCATATGGCCCATTGTTGACTTTTCCCGCCGATTTCCTCCCCAGCGAGGAGGTCGACGTATTCGCCCTCGACGAGACGGGACGTATTGTGTATGTCCCCGGCTCGTTTCTTGAAATGCTCAGGCCTCGAGACGATGAAGTTTATGATCTCCGGCGGGTAGAGATCGCGAACCGAAAACGAGATGTTTTCCTCGACTTTTGGCGGGAAGGGTTTGGTCGTCGAGGAGTACTCCCGAAGGATATGAAAGAGGTTAAACGCCGAGAGGCAATTGAAAGCGTACGACTCGACGTTGGGATTCGAGACCGAGTCCTCGACGGCCTCGGCAATGAGGCGGTCGTAAATGAGGACGATTTTTTTTGTTTCAGTCAACATGTTTTGTATAAGGGCGGCGATCGGGCGGCGGAGGGCCGTGTAGGCCTCCATAGCCGGAGCAAGGTGGTGGGGGGTTTTGTGCCGGCTCGGGTCCGGGTCGGGTGTGGGGATTGGGGGAGTGGGGAAGTCGTGGAAATGGATTGGGTTAGGGCCGTAAGGGCTAGGATTAGGGTTAGAGTAGTGACGGAGTTTGACCTGGCGGTTGTGGGTGGCGGAGCCGAGGAAGTGGACGGGGAGGGTGGTGGTGGAGGAGATGAGGCCGGCGAGGCGGAGGAGCTGGTTGAGGTGGCTCTGGGCGGGGACGGGCAACATGACCACCGTGACTGGATGTCTATCCATTGGCGATTAGAGAGTGACGAAAGAGAAAGTGTGAGATTTTTAATTTTGGGAACGATTTTTTGTCTTTTATTTATTTAGATATTTATGTATTAATGATTATAATGTACCGGGAGAGTGGTCCAATTTATTTAGGTGGCTGAAAATTATAAAATATTAATGTCCTTATTTATTTATTTAGTTTATTTATTTATTTTGTTCTTTCGGCGGAGTCTATACAAATGTTTCGCCAAAGTCAAGTCAATATATTCGAATTTTGAAAATGAAGCACTTTTGTTTTTTTTTTTTTTTTTTTNNNNTATTATCCTTTGATCTTTGTTGTAGTTTTGCCTTGAGAGTTGAATTCTTCTCAGAGATATTTTTTATTACAATTATAAGAAATTAATTATGCCCGATATATATATATGGATTTAGCTTTGATTTTTATTTCACGTAATTTCATTTTATTTGATTTTTTTAGTTAATTTACTAACTTTTCAACCATCAAGCAAAAGTGAACAGCTATTCTTACGAGATTCAAATCAGATATTATCTAACTTGTAAATTATCGACTATATTTTCAACTAAATTTACCAAATATAACCTTAGCCTCGTTTGTTAAACTTTCTAAAGCATGTATTTTACTTCTACAACACAATCTTATAATAAAGACAAACTAAACATCAATTATTTATAAACACTAAAAACCATCTGCAAATAAAATTAAAAAAAATAAAAAATTATACATGAATGGAGCAATTTTCTCCGTACAATTTATTTTTGTTTGGAAATAAAAAGTTAAAATGTAAAAATTATGTATATTGGGCCAACTTTCATAGATCCCGCTAAGAAGGCCCATTGCCCATTTTCATCCTCAATATTTGATCAGAAACGCAAAGGCTAACGACGCAGTGGACCTTCTCCTCCTCATAAAATAAAGTAACTTGCAATGGGCCTCATAATGGGCCTATTCATCCTCAATATTTCATCATAAAATAAAGTGCCTCTTCATCCTCAATCGAGTAATTTTATTCAACCATTCAAGGGATACAAAGGTCATTTGACAAAGAAACTACTGTGTAGATTTCAGCAGTCTTGGGGAGAAAGCCCGGATGAAATAATCTTGGAAACAGCCGATAAATGCCATTTTGATGGCATGCCGTCACCTTATCTCGGGCCACAATCTAAGGTAACAAACAAACATTTTTGGCCCGATTAAGGTTGCAATCCCATCCTACATTTTTGGCCCGATTAAGGTTGCAATCCCATCCTACATTTTTGGCCCGATTAAGGTTGCAATCCCATCCTATCTTGGCAAGAAAGAGATTTTAATTGAAAATTTGAGCTTTACTATATAAAACAGGGCTAAAAGACATGTATAACATGTTCTCAAGCCCTGTTAGCATAACATGGGTCTTAAGAAATGGGCCTAACCCATTTTTCTTCAAACGTGTTCGTGAATGTGAATCTTATTAGTCCATATAATTGCTAGTGGGATTTAATTGCTATATATAGATATTGACATTTACAACTTTCCTCATTATTATATAGATTAATAACTTTAATTTCTCACACAAAGTTCAAAATCAATTTTATGGTGCATATCACTATCATATTGACAATGTTCATTTAGTAAATGATTTATTACACAACTCTTCTCAATTGATCCCTCATTAGCTATACACTATACAGGGGCGAAGCCAGAAATTTTAGTTGAGGGGGTCGGGGGGTCTTACACGGTGTCTTATATAGATCCGCCCCTGCTGCCGGGGTCTTATTATTTTTTTAATGGGGTCTTACACGGTGAAATTTTGCTACGTACAAGTAGTTCAACGCAAAGCGTCGGTGTCGGACGACCCCAGCCAGTACAAGTAGCTTCGCCACTGACACTATATCTACCAATTGGTTGACTAAATTGTTGCTATCCATAGGCAGAGTTGACCTACACACAATTAATCATAGCTTAGTATCGAGAAAACGGTAGATTTCATGCTACCCATGTGGATAGTGTCCCCCATGGGCTTTTTGACCACAAATTTCACACACACCTATACCCGAGAAAACTTGCAAAATCATACATTCGTATGTGTGTACACAACCACTCATCTTTTTATTGGGTAAGCAATGACGTCATATTAGTCAATTACTACATTGTGGGAACCAGTTCACGGCGGCGCGTGTGGTTAAGGGTTGTTGTCCGTCCACATTCAAATTCAATTAATCCGTATATAAAAGAGCAATTGGGATCTCAATTATCAAAGGGAAAATCTGTGTTTTTGTTTTTGTTTGGAACATCAATTGGGCCTAACGGACATAAA